GATAGGAAATTAATAGATCACGACGTTTTGATCGCAACACAAGCCACCGTCTTCAGGTGAGAGAGAGAGAGAGATCTGCTGAGACACGAGGTCTTATGTAGGCCTGAGATGGGTGCAGCCTCAGGGTAAGCGGGCGGGGCTGGAGATGGTCTGCCTGAGGCTGTGGAGGTGGCTGTTGTATTGTGAGAGATTAGCATGGGAATGCACGAGCTTCGTATGCCGTAGCATCGGTGACTGGGCGAGAAGGACATTCCAGCCCGTCAATACAAAGACATCCAACCTAAACACATTCCTCCTGCTGAGGGAGCTGGTAGTAACGTTGGGTTGATCGGTCAATGGCCTGCAGGGTCAACGGCAGCGTGGTCTATTCCGCAAATGTGCCCGACTGTGATGGCGGGCACAAGCCGGCGTGAGTAGGTTAAACGTTGATAAGGGCACCACGGGGTGAGCAGTCCCTTCCCACCCAGCCCCAGCCCTGCCACCCAGCCCCACCCTCCCCACCCAGCCCCTCCCTCCCCACCCAGCTCCTCCATGCACGACGGACGGACAAAATAACCCCCTGTGGGCTGGTGTAACCAGGAGGTTACTACCAGTATAATGCAACTCAGAGAGTCGGCTAAAATCGCAGCAAGGATGGAAACATCACAGGAGGTTGACTTAACCTGGTTAATCGCGTCCTTCCAATGATTGCTCAATTTGTACCCATCTTCTCGGTTGAAGTTGTATCCGTGTCTATATATCTGGATGGCTTCATGAACACATCTCTGATGATAGCCAGTGGGTTTGTGCAGAGTATCTTCGTCTTGGAAACATCAATGTCGTGTGTGCCCACTGCGTTAAAACAACGATCCGCAATTTTATACCGCGCGAGACCACGCTGAGCTTCTACATCGTCGTAGTAGCTGTTCCTTCTTTTTCAGAAGCTACCTGGTCATCACAAATTATGGCTCAACGAAGTGGCTTCATCATCATCAGCAACAGCATGATCACGTGGCAACATCGGCGGAGTTTGACTTCTCTATTCGAGGGGGAGGGGTGGGGTTCGCTTTGCCCCTCGCATTAAGAATCGCGGGTGCATATCATTCATTTATTTTTTTCATCTTAATTGTCAACTCCTGAAAATGAAATCATACATTTGCTCAGTTTGGTGGGAATTGTCCCCCCCCGTGCCCCCCCTCCCCCCCCAAAACTCCCCGTGGACATCTTATAGCAGGAGCTAAATTCTGTGTTGGATTCGGTAAACAGACAAACAAAAATCCACAACTCAATGATTTCAAGAGCCGCAAATTCACGGTGGTGACTACTGGACGGTGGCCCCTTCGCACGTAACGTCAGATGAGCCGCAGGTCGGACCAACCCATCAACAAGCTTCGATTAGAAACGATGCGGACCAGTCTGCAGGGACGCGCGTGGCCTCTGATGGGATGTGCACAAAAAGTTGCGTGTTTTTTTTTCTGTTTGTCGTTGGCTTATTTCCGACGGAGGGAGAGATACGGGAAGGGTGCAGGGGGTGGGGTGATGGCGGTGGGGCTGTGGGCAGGGGTGGTGGTGGTGGTAGGGGGGTGGGAGTGGGAGTGGAGTGGGGGTGGGAGGGGGGTGGGAGGGGGGGTGGGAAGGGGTGGGAGTGGGGTTGGAGGGGTGGTGGTGGTGGTGGTGGTAGGGGGTGGGAGGAGGGTTGGAGTGGGGGTGGTAGTGGTGGGATTGGGGGTGGGAGTGGGGGTGGTAGTGGTGGGAGTGGGGGTGAGGGTGGGGTGGGGGTCGTCATCCGCTTATCTATTTTGTCAATCGCAACGTCTCTCGCAACCGGTGGCGTTCGAGAGGAGGGGGGGGGACATGCCAAATCGCTCATTGATGCTCCGCATTCTTTTTTTACAGTCGTGTGGAGCAAGTTGGTGGAAATTCCACGTTCCTACGGCGGATATTTGAGGATATCCATCCATAGGACAACCACTGTCGACTTGCCCACGCAATAAAACAAACAAACAAACAACAACAACAAAAACCCTCAATTTATCGACCTCGGAGGGAGGGATGGATGATGGTCGGAGTCAATCACCCCACCGTCCAGCCGCCAGGGTTTGAACTCGCTAATCCGCCTGGCAAGTAGTTAGCGAGCAGCTATTAAAACCGGCACCATGCCCGACCGCCTTTGTCTCCCCAGTGGGCGATGTTTACACGTCGCACCAAGAACTCATTTGAGGCTGCGTCGACCTAGGGGAGGCCCAGGCCCGGTACCAACACCCCGCCATTCGTCACGAGGTGACGTCACCATGGCGCCTGTGCCAGGCTAGGTGCACTTTGAGGCCACGTGAAATGTCAAAGGCTCGCTGACAGGAGGTCTCGGGACAGACCCAGCAGGTGCCATGGGTTGGCTGACTGAAATGACCGGAAGATGCACACCAGCTGTACCCCCTACTGTGCCAACTTGCAGCATTTTAGCCACCCGGCGCTTCGCTCGTTGTTGTGAGCGTCGCTCCTCTGCCCTCCGTTGTTGCTGGAGGGCGACTGCCTCCAACTGCCCAGTAGCAGCGTCCTTCACGAGCCTCCTCCACAGAGGCCAATCTTGACACCGCTGGTACCAGTCATCGGCAAGTCCACTCAGCTCCACACCCTTCCGTATCGCATCAGCTCCATCTCTGCTCCAGCCCGTGCCGTGCCTGTTTAGCCCCCTCTATGCGGCAAAACAGAAGCTGCTTGGGCATGCGGTGGCTGGGCATGCGGTGGCTGGGCATGCGGTGGCTGGGCATGCGGTGGCTGGGCATGCGGTGGCTGGGCATGCGGTGGCTGGGCATGCGGTGGCTGGGCATGCGGTGGCTGGGCATGCGGTGGCTGGGCATGCGGTGGCTGGGCATGCGGTGGCTGGGCATGCGGTGGCTGGGCATGCGGGCGACATGACGCAGCCAACGGAGCCTTGCCTGCCGGAGGAGCTCACTGATGGAATGTGTCCTGGTCTTTAAAGGATTTGTGGGCTCCTCACACAATCCAGCCTGGTTAAACCCAGGGTGGATTGTAAGCATGCCAGCCTGAATGTTTATAACTGGCGCAGGTGTTCCATTAGAGGGTCCATGTTTCACAATCATTGAGAAGGGAGGGCATGCTTGTGGCCGACAAGACCCGAAACTTCGTGCGGAGTGACAGACCAGGTAGTTTCCACACAGCGTTACGCAGCCGATGAAAAGATTATGTCACCCGTACGATTCAGAATGAGACCTCTGCTGTCAAACCGGAGCTGGTCATAAGCACACTGCCCGGGCATGGGAAACTCTCCACTCTCTCCACAACTGCTCCATCACCAATGGGGAGTTGAGGGGTGGAGTGTGGCAAAAAATACCCAGGCAGGTGCTTAGTTTTGGTGGAGCTAATGGTAAGATCCCACCTCTTAGTGGCACGCTCCATGCAGGTTAAGTAGCTGCGCCTTCAACTCCTCCTCGGAGTGAGCAGCAATTACCAAATTATTGGCATACATAACGTGATTGACCAATAGGGAGCCATCCCTCGACCGCACCCACCCGGGCATCGATCAGCCTCTCCGTTGTATCTGTGTCAGATGTAAATTCATTCGGCAGGTTCCGTTGAAGGCTACACGGGGGACCTTTGTCTTTGCTGCCGGCGCATGAATGGACGCGTGGCTGAGCTCGTTTCTAGACGCCGCCTCTCTGAGGCCGGATTAAGTTCCTCTACCCGTGACGTCAAAGGACTCGAGCACAGACCAAAAAAATGTCAACATCATCCAAATCTCCTTCTCATCGACCCCCCCCCATCCTTCTCACCCCCCACCCACCACCACCATCTCCTGTACCCCACCGCCCCTCCGTTCCCCCCACCGCAAGCGCTATGGGTCGTTTTGCTAGTTTATGGGTCTCTGACAATGTGAGTCTACGGGTCTCTGTGTACATATCAGTTTACGCTTTGTCGTCGTCTATAGATTGTGTAAATGTACGTGAGTCTATGGGTCTCTATGTAAGTCTATGTGTCTCGATGACGATTTGAGTCTATGGGTCTCTGCAATTTTATGGGTCTCTGTGCGTAAGTCCTTGGATCATGTATGCATATGCGAGTCTATGGGTCTTAGTGTGAGCCTATGATTATTTGTGCGAGTCTATGAGTCTCTATGACTATGTGAGTCTACGGGTCTCTGTGTACATATCCGTTTACTCTTTGTCGTCCTCTTTAGATCGTGTCAGTGTACATGAGTCTATGAGTCTCTATGTAAGAATTTGTGTCTATGTGACCATGTGAGTCTGTGCAAGTCTATTTGGTCACTGTGTGTGTCAATGGGTGATTATGTAAGGGCAGTGAATGTGACTGGAACAGCGGCACAAACGTTCACGGAGACTCAGCCCATCATCCTTTCAGGGTCGATAAATAGAGTACCACTTTGTGGGGAAGCTCACAGTCGTCGTCATATGCATGGAGAGTGTCGCTTCCACCATGTGAATTTAGAATCCCCACCATTAGCTCTGCATGGCTGTGGACAGCAGGATGAGTGCGGCATGGCTGAATCTTTGAGCATGAAATCACTCGAATGTTGACGTCTCCTTCCGTCTGCCACCGCGCCTCCTAAAGTTGGGGGGGGGGGGGGGGGTTCTTGAAGAACTCCCCGAGAGGATTTGAAGAGATCTGAAAAGTGGAAAATCTTCCTCGAGTTAATGACGCTAGGTAGCACGCAAGCACGCGCGCGTGTGCGGACATGGATTTGACTTTGTGATCCAGGAGGAGAAAGTTGAATTTGTCGTCAGGGAAAGCTTTCTCTGCTGTTGTCTAGAGACACAGAGACCGCTCTCTCTCTCTCTCTGCTGTTGTCTAGAGACACAGAGACGGCTCTCTCTGCTATTGCATAGAGACACAGGGACGGCTCTCTCTCTCTCTGCCATTGTCTAGAGACACAGAGACACAGAGACCGCTCTCTCTCTCTGCCATTGTCTAAAGACACAGAGACACAGAGACCGCTCTTCTGAACTCAACGTCCCCGTATAAGAGAGGTCACAAGGAAGCAGCTCTGATTGTTATAATAAATATTTAATGTGTGCAATTTTCAAAGTTAAAATGTACGATATGACATTATGACTTAATCAATAATATATCGCATACACGTACGCACACACATACTCGTGTGTGTGTGTGTCTTGTGGATAAATAAACATAATTAAGTGGCGCTTTTTCTTGAAAAAATACAACGCACGTCACAACACAAATACCTTATGGGGTATGTATCTATATATGTGCGCGTGTTTTCGTGTTTATAAAATACGCATATGTACATGTGTGTGTGTGTACGTGCACGCGTTTGGACCCGCGTGCACGTGTTGGCGTGTCTCTGCATGTGGTCGCAAAAACTGTGTGTTGCGGATCTGTTTTTGCACGCATGTAATTCGGTACGTGTGTTTATTTAGATGTATCCGTGCGCGTGTGTGTGAACGTGAGTCTGTCTGCGTGTGTCATTGTAAATCGAGGCGCGTGCGTGCGTGTATTTGTGCCGGGGCTGTGTGCACCTAGCCTGGCACGAACGCCGTGGTTGTTGGTCTTCGGCTGCGTCTGTGTGCGGATTATATACACGACGGTTACTTGGCGAGATCAAAATGACGACGATTAACGTCGTGTATTTGGTTGACGTCCTTGCATCCATAGATTTTCTGCGGCCAAATTAACGTCTCTCGAGACAAAACTTTGATGACATTTTTTTGCATTTCAACATTTTTTTCTCTTCCCTTCTGCACGGCAGGTGGTTGTCACGCGGGGTGTATATCCGCCCCCGCCATAGGAATGTGGAACTTCCACCACTGGCTCAGGGCTGTAAACAGGAGATGGGTGTGCCCGAAGAATACCTGCTCAGAGAACGGACAAGAAACAAAGATCCCCCGTATAGCCTTGCACAGACTGCTGGGGCAAGTGCTGTTAGCGAGCACCTATTACGGCCGACACGGCACACGTGGGGGCCAAAACCACGCCCGGCCGCCTTTGTCTCCCCAGTGTTGATAATATTTACACACCGCACTAGGTACTCATTTAAGGCCGAGTCGACCTAGGAGAGGGCCAGGAGAAGTTCATATATTGCCCACTGTTATTGGTCTTGAGCGGGAACGAGGAATTCGGTTGGCCTGGGTTCATAGCGTAGTGCTCTAACCACTACGCCACCGCTTCCCATAGAAGAGACAAAGACAAAGATCCCCCGTATAGCCTTAACAAACTGTTGGGGCAAGTGCCGTTAGCGAGCAGCACACACACAGACACCCACACAAAGACAAAGATCCCCTGGATAGTATTTCGCAGACTGTTCGGAAAAGTGCTGTTAGCGAGCACCACACGCACACCCGCACACACCCATACACACACACCCGTACACACACACCCATACACACACACCCATACACCTACACACACACCCACGTGTTGCCACATTTGACCTCACCGGACGCGACCTGCCCATCGATGGATCGACTGTCCGACCGTGCCGGACCAATTCACTCCGCTGGGTGGACGGAGGCGGTGGCGGTGGTGGTGGTGGCGGAGATAGAGTCGGTGATTGTGGCAGTGTTGGCGGTTGCGGTGGTGGCGGTAGCGGTGGTGGTGCTGGTGGTGGTGGTAGCGGTGGTGGCGGAGATGGAGTCGGTGATTGTGGCGGTGGTGGCGGTTGCGGTGGTGGTGGCGGTGGTGGTGGCGGTGGTGGCGGTAGCGGTGGTGGCGGAGATGGAGTCGGTGATTGTGGCGTTGGCGGTTGCGGTGGTGGCGATGGTGGCGGTGGTGGCGATGGTGGCAGTGGTGGCGATGGTGGCGGAGATGGAGTCGGTGATTGTAGCGGTGGTGGCGGTGTTGGCGGTGGTGGCGGTGGTGACAGCGGCGGTGGTGGCGGTGTTGGTGGTTGCGGTGGTGGTGGTGGTGGCGGCGGCTCGCGGAGAATTCAAGGAACGTCGTTTCAACCACCCAGGGCGCCAGGACGTGGAATCGAACCGGCAACCTCTGGATCGCGAGTGACAGTGCGGTGATAACCGTAACACCGCTATGGCAGCCACCCTATACCGTAACGTAATATATCAACTGTTACACATACATAAATATCCCTGCATATGATCAGAATTTGGTATCGCCGCGATTATATACGCGCGCTTGCGTTGTGCTTCAGTAATTCTTGCACCTGAACAGGAATTGGGGGACTTACTTTTATGTCAAAGAAGAGTTCTTAAGCAGATAGCGTACAATCGGTAGCAAGTAGCCCGACTCGAGAAACCGTAACGAATGCATCGCGTGTGAGTTGCCATGCCCGCTGGTGCCGTGTGACGCGGAGTTCTCGGGCAAACAGTTCGATCCCTCACTCGGTCCCCTGTTGCACAAACTCTGTAATGGATTTCAAAAAACAACAACACACACACTCCCATACACCTACACACACACACACACTCCCATACACCTACACACACACACTCACTCTCATACACCTACACACACACACACATTCCCATACACCTACACACACACACACATTCCCATACACCTACACACACACACATTCCCATACACCTACACACACACACATTCCCATACACCTCCACACACACACATTCCCATACACCTACACATACACACACTCCCATACACCTACACACACCTACACACACACACTCCCATACACCTACACACACACACTCACTCTCATACACCTACACACACACACACACACACATTCCCATACACCTACACACACACACATTCCCATACACCTACACACACACACATTCCCATACACCTCCACACACACACATTCCCATACACCTACACATACACACACTCCCATACACCTACACACAAACACTCCCATACACCTACACACTCTCCCATACACCTACACACACACACTCCCATACACCTACACACACTCTCATATACGTACACACACCCCCATACACACACACACCCCCATACACCTACACACACACACACTCCCATACACACACACTCCGGATATCCCCACATTCAGTTCGACTCCAGGTTTTACCCAGGTCACTGCTGCAGATGGCCCAGGTCAGGTTACTCCTGGCCATCTCTCCAGCCCGCTCTCACGAGTTAAATGAAATCAATGTTCAACTCTGCACTCTGTACTCCCGCGTTCAAGAGCAGAGTCGACTGCACATCCGGCTGCGGAGCCTGGGTTTGACTCCTGGTCAAGGTGCCTGAGGAGTGTTTGGGTTTGACTTCACGCCCAGCAAACGTGCGATGTTCATGTTTTGACTCTGGGTGGAAACTTGCATGGGTTCGATTTCCAGTTGAGGTGCAGATTGTGAGTTTGGCTCAAGGTCTGGATCTGCGCACGGTGCACAAAAAGTCCAGATGCAGATCGCGGTCCGGATGTAGCAGTGTGAGTTCGAATCCAGATCCAGAGTCCCGATCCACATCCGGGTTTTGGGTACAGCAGCGTGAATTCGAATCCTGATCCAGGGTCCTAATGCGGATCCGTGTCTTGGGAGCAGCAGCGTGAATTCGAATCCTGATCCAGGTCATTAACCAATTCCGGGTCTTGAATGGAACAGCGCGAATTCAAATCCAGATTCTGAGTTCTTCGCCGCATCTGGGTCTTGGATGCAGCAGCGTGCGGCTTCGACTGTCAGCGGACTTCCGGCGGCCGCAAATCCCAAAATCCGATCCTCGAGTTCAGAGGCCAACTCCGGGTCTTGTTCTTCGACGCAGTTTGTGAGTCCGACTCCTCTGGGGGCGACGAGAGGCAGCGCCACTTCCACCGTGGGTGGGGTGTGGGGTGGTGCAACGGCCAGCGCGCCGCGCCACGAACCCGGCTATGACCCGAGTTCGATTCCCGCTCATGGCCACCAGCACCGGGGCCTGGGCCTCCTCCCCTAAAATGAGCACCCGGTGCGATGTGGGTAAAACAAACGTCGCCACTGCGGGAGACGACGGCGGCCGGGCGTGGTGCTGGCCGCCCACCACCCCGTCGTGTGCCGCAGCGCCAGTGGCCTTCATTCGGCGTCTGTTAATGGGACACGCGGGGCATCTTTGTCTTTGGGGTGTGGGTGGGGTTGTACGTTTAGACGGGTACCTCCAAGAGGGGATAGCCGCCCGCCCCATCCCATCGCGCCCCGTCAACCCCCCGCCCCCCTCCGCCCCCGCGGGTCCTCCGGCTCACACCTGCGACGGGTAGCTCTCGAGGAAGTCCCGGAGCGGCGCGGGCAGCGGCAGCTCGGCGAGGCGCTCGCCGGGCACGGCGCGGTGGATGGCGCGGCGGCACGCGTGCTGCATGGACGGCGGCGCCCCGGCGTGGCGGGGCAGCGGGCGGGACAGCAGCAGCGGCAGGCGCGTGCCGTCGTCGTGCGTCACGCAGTAGCGCGCCCCGTCGCGGCGCCGGTGCCGGCGGTCGCCGCCGTCGTCGTCGCCGCCGCCCCCCCCCCCGGCCCGGTCGAGCCGGCGCGACTCGCCCATGTAGTGCTCGATGAGCTCCATGAGGCTGGCGAAGCGCGGCGCCGCGTGCACCGCCTCCTGCACCGTGTCGAGGGCAAAGGCGCCGGCGCGGAAATGTACGCGCACGCTGGTGGGGCCCCGCTCCGTCACGGCGCTCAGCGAGAAGAAGTGGGCCCCGTGGCGGCTGTCGCGCACCAGGAAGGTGCCCACCGGCTTGCCGAGCAGCGCCGCGGCCGCCTCGGCGCTGGACAGGTGGCCCCAGTAGAAGCCGCTCTCCTCCAGCATGCGGTGGCTGCGCTGCACCGCGCAGAAGTCCTCCAGGCACGGGAAGGTGTGGAAGTGAGTCCGCACCCCGCCGCCGTCGCCGCCGGCGCTACCGCTGACGCCGCCGGTGCCGCCGCGGTTGCCGCGGCCGTTGCCGACGTTACCGTTGTCGTTGGCGACGCCGCGATCGCCGCCGTTCCCCACCGACGCCTGCCCCCCCCGCCGCCGCCGGTCGCGCTTCAACTTTTCGGGTTCGGCGCCGGTGGCGGCGGTCACCGGCCGCCCCGCGCCCAGCGCCATCGGCTGCGGCGCTGCCGATAGCCGTGGTGGTGGCGATGGCGGGTGTGGCGATGGCAGGTGTGGCGATGGCTGCCGTGGTGGCGGTCGTGGCGGCGGTGATGGTGATGATGGTGGTGGCGATGGTGGTGGCGATGGCGATGATGGTGGTAATGTGTGCGATGCTGGCACAGAGAGCCACGCACTGCTGCCACATGGTGATGTCTGCCGAGGGTTGCTGCCGCTGCTGCTGCTGTTGCAGCTGTTGCTGCTGTTAATGCTGCTGCTGTTGCTGCTGTTAATCTTGATGTTCCTACAGCAGCAGTTGCTGTCGTGGCTGCTGCTGTTGTTGCTGCTGTTGCTGCTGTTGTTGCTGTTGTTGCTGCTGCTGTTGCAACTGTTAATCCTGCTGCTGTTGCTGATTTTGTTGCTGCTGTTGTTGCTGCTGTTGCTGCTACTGTTGCCGCTGTTGGTGCTGCTGTACCCTGGCAGGAGGATGGGTGGTGCTGGCTGGAGTGGCGCTAGCAGCTCCAGCCCTGAGGTCGATGGCTCCGGGTCAGGGTCAGAGGTCCCTGGAGAGAACAATTACAATCATTATCGTTGTCATTATGCAGGAGAGTTGGTATCGACGCAGGGTGATCAGCACGCGCAGTCTACAGGAGTACCAGTGGGGGGGTTTGGGGGGTGGGATGTTGCCACGGGTAATATGCCAAGCGTCCGGTAACAAACGGCACACTGTTGAAGGTGGGAGCGTGCGGGATAGGACTCGTGGCCATGGCGAGAGTCAACGTTCCGTAGGGGTGCGGGTGGGAACGCTTCTTGTAGGGGTGCGGGCAGAAATAAACATCCCTATTAAAGTTGGGTGTTATCAGGCGGGAGCGGGGGCAGTGTCATGGATGCTGTGTGGGATAGGGCTCGTGGCCACGGCGAGAGTGTGAACGTTCAGATTTACCGATAGTGCTCCGGGTTTGGATGAGGGTCAAGGTTGAGGGGTTATGTGATTTGGTTTGGGTGAAGGTCTGCGTTCCGCTGAAGGTTAGGGGATTATCGATAGCGCAAGAGGGATTCGCATGTTGTTGTTCTTCGATTCTGCGTGGGTTTCGTCTGTGTTATCATCGCTATAAAACAAAACGTGTAATTTCACTGGGTATTGACCAAACTGCCAATCACTGAAATAATCTTTTTTTTACTTTACCAGGTAACGCCCACTGAAAAGTGACCTGACCTAAAAAAATGTATTTCAACGAAGTGGCTTACCGTCATGTGTAAAATTTTTGAGCATGAAGTTGATTATAAATGTGGAGGGAAAGTCCGGCCATCCAGAGAAAAAAAATCCACGCGACCACGGGGAGAGAGAGAGACACGCAAACTCCAAATATACAGCAGGCGTCAGGGTCGAACCCACGATCTCCCGTATACCAGGCGAGGTGGTTAACATCTCGTCACCGTGTCGCACTCGATTGGGCTCGTACACACACACACAGCATCATCATCATCACCCCCTACTGAGCAAACTCGGCAGAACCCTCCTTGAGACGCGGTGAGTATTTCTCGTGGGTCATTTTGACCGCATTGTAAAAATGTTTTGGATGTTACGTTTGGTAGGCTTTGTTTTCGTTATAAACTGCTCAAACATAATTTTTAATTTGATTTCATCAGGCAAGGCTCTTAATTCTAGATTTGAAGCTTTCGTGACTGCAAGAATTCATACTCCTAGGTTTTTCGGTAAAGTCACGTAGGTAAAAATAAATAACAAAAATAAATAATAAAATGATATAACGAAGAATAAAAATAAAATAATTATATAATAAATTGATAGAAACGGTAATAGAAATAAAAGAATCATTTTATTTCTATTATTATTTCTATAATTTTAATATTTATTTTTTATAGATAAAGTAATTATTTTATTTCTATTATTATTTCTATCATTTTATTATTTATTTTTACCTACGTGACTTCACCGAAAAAAAAAACCTAGGAGTAAGGCTCTTAATGTTCAGTAGCGACATGGCAATCACAAATGAGAGCTCAACAAAGTGGCTCATCATCAGCACGTGGAACTTTCTAGCTGCCAAAAAATACCGCTCGAAATCGGAGGGGACCCGGCACATCGGAGACAATCCGCGCTCAGAACAGAGAGGGAGAAGACACAGACCTCCACGCACGGGAAGCGTCCGAGTCGGGAGTCGAACCCGGGGCTCCCCCCCCCGCCCCCTTCTCGCTGTGGGCGAGTGATCGTGGGGAGCGGTGGTGCAGCGGTTAGCGCGCTGCCCTACGAACCCGGCGAGTTCCCGAGTTCGATTCCCGCTCACGGCCAACACCGGTGACGATTATTACCTTCGGTAGTTTTCCCACTGCCCTGACTAGTTCGGCACGATTCGTAACGCTCTGTGGCAGTGCAACTCGGCTACACCACGTCACTGACACAAAGACAAAGATCCCCTGTATAGCCTTTACGGACTGTTGGGGCAAGTGCTGTTAGCGAGGAGCAACCAATGAAGGCCGGCACGGCGCACGAGGGGGTGGGTGGCCAGCACCAAGCCCGGCCGCCTTTGTCTCCCCAGTGGCGATGTTTAATACACACTGCACCATTTGAGGCTGAGTATACCTAGGGGAGACCCAGGGCTGGTGCAGATAATCGTCACCGGTGATGCTGGCCGTGAGCGGGCTTCGAACTCGGGTCGCCGGGTTCGTAGCGCAGCGCGCCGACTGCTACACCACCGCTCCCCACTCGCTCATACAGAGACACTCCCTCATATACGCAGACACACTCTCGTACAGACACACACAGAGACACACTCTCGTACAGACACACAGAGACACACTCTCGTACAGACACACAGAGACACACTCTCGTACAGACACACACAGAGACACACTCGCGTACAGACGCACACAGAGACACACTCTCGTACAGACACACACAGAGACACACTCTCGTACAGACACACACTCGCGTACAGACACACACAGATACACACTCTCGTACAGACACACACAGAGACACACTCTCGTACAGACACACACAGAGACACACTCTCGTACAGACACACAGAGACACACTCTCGTACAGACACAACAGAGACACACTCTCGTACAGACACACACAGAGACACACTCGCGTACAGACACACACAGACACACAGAGAACGATCTAGATGTGAAGCTTTCGTGACTGCAAGGATTCATACTCTTAGTTCTATCGGTAAAGTCACGTAGGTAAAAAATGAAACAAAAATGAAATAAAAATAAAACAATAAAATCACGACGTTTCGGAGGTCCCACCTGATGACGGAGACTTGTGTTGCCTCCGAAACGTCGTGATTTTATTGTTTTTTATTTCATTTTCGTTTCATTTTTTACCTACATGGTGACTTTACCGAAAGAACTGAGAGTATAGAAAACGATCTCCCAGGCGTGCCGCTGGTCGCGGTCTCTCTTCAGCTTTAACGAAAACTCCAACAGCATCACCACCACCATCACGACCACCACCACCATCACTTCCATCACCACTAACATTCCCATCACTACCATCACCACCATCATCACTAACGTCACCATCACTACCATCATCATCACTACCATCACCACTACCACCATCATCACCGTAACTCGGGAACGCGTCTCCCCGCTACGTGGCCTCCATTGATTAGAAACACCATCGAGGAAGAGACGGATGAACCGCACAGGGTTTGTGCCGTGTGAAACCCTTCACCCCCACCTCGAATTCCACTGTGGAACTCTGAACGTCTCCCACATCCCCCATCATTCTCCCATCACCCTCCCCCCCCTCACTCCCCCCCACTCCCCCCTCACTCTCCCCCCTCACCCTCCCCCCTCATCCCCTCACTCTCCCCCCTCACTCCCCTCACTCTCCCCCCCTCACTCTCCCCCCTCACTCCCCTCACTCTCCCCCCCTCACTCTCCCCCCCTCACTCTCCCCCTCACTCTCCAACCTCTCCCCCTCACTCCCATCACTCTCCCCCCCTCACTCTCCCCCCTCACTCTCCAACCTCTCCCCCCTCACTCCCATCACTCTCCCCCCCTCACTCTCCCCCCTCACTCTCCCCTCCACTCTCCCCCTCACTCTCCAACCTCTCCCCCCTCACGCCCATCACTCTCCCCCCTCCACTCTCCCATCCCTCTCACTCCCCCTCACTCCCATCACTCTCCCCCCGCACTCTCCCCCCTCACTCCTCCCCCTCCCTCCCCCCTCAAGCCCTCACTCTCCCCTCACTCCCCTCACTACTCCCCCCCTAACTCTCCCCCCTCACCTCCCCTCACTCTCCCCCCCTCACTCTCCCCCCTCAACTCTCCCCCCTCACTCTCCAACCTCTCCCCCTCCACTCCCATCACTCTCCCCCCCTCACTCTCCCCCCTCACTCTCCCCCCTCACTCTCCAACCTCTCCCCCCTCCCTCCCATCACTCTCCCCCCCGCACTCTCCCCCCCTCACTCTCCCCCCCTCACTCTCTCCCCCTCACTCTCCAACCTCTCCCCCCTCACTCCCATCACTCTCCCCCCCTCACTCTCCCCCCCTCACTCTCCCCCCTCACTCTCCAACCTCTCCCCCCTCACTCCCAATCACTCTCCCCCTCACCCTCCCCCCTCAATCCCCTCACTCTCCCCCCTCACTCTCCCCCCTCACTCTCCAACCTCTCCCCCCTCACTCCCATCACTCTCCCCCCTCACCCTCCCCCCTCACTCTCCCCCCTCCCTCTCCCCCCTCACTCTCCCCCCTCACTCTCTCCCCTCACTCTCCCATCACCCTCCCCCCCCCTCACTCTCCCCCCTCCCTACCACCCCTCCCCCCTCACTCTCCCCCCCCTCACTCTCCCCCCCCCCCCTCACTCCCCCCCTCACTCTCAAACCTCTGCCCCCTCACTCCCATCACTTTCCCCCCTCCCTACCACCCCTCCCCCCTCACTCTCCCCCCTCACTCTCCCCCTCCCTACCTCACTCCCCCCTCACTCTCCCCTAATTCTCCCACCTCTCCCCCCTCACTCCCATCACTCTCCCCTCACTCTCCCACCCCCCTCACTCTCCCCCCTCACCACCCCCCCTCACTCTCCCACCCATCCCCCCTCACCCCCCCCCCCTCACTCCCCCCTGTCTCTCACCTCTCTCGCTCACCGCCGCCGCCGCGCGCTCTCCCCGCTCTCCCCGCGCTCTCTCCGTCTCCTCACGGGCCCCGGCCCCCGGGGCCCGTGGGGGTCCCGGGGCCCATGTCCCTCGCTCCCCCGCCTCCTCCTCGTCCACCTCCTCCTCGTCTCCTCCTCGTCCACCTCCTCCACCTCCTCCCCCGCGCTCCCCCACAGCCGAGACTTCGGATCTCCCTCGGGCCGCATGGAGTGAGGAGGCGGGCGCTGGCTGTGCGTGGCGCTGTGCGTGCCAAGGTGTGTGTCCGTGTGGGGGGTGTTCGCGTGAGTTGCGTGGTGTGTGTGTGGCGTATGAGTTGTGTGTGTGGGGTGTGTGTGTGTGGTGTGTGTGGCGTATGAGTTGTGTGTGTGGGGTGTGTGTGTGGTGTGGGTGGTGTATGAGTTGTGTGTGGTGTGTGTGTGTGTGGCGTATGAGTTGTGTGTGTGGGGTGTGTGTGTGTGGTGTGTGTGGTGTATGAGTTGTGTGTGTGGGGAGGTGTGTGTGGTGTGGGTGGTGTATGAGTTGTGTGTGTGGGGGGAGGTGTGTGTGGTGTGGGTGGTGTATAAGTTGTGTGTGTGTGTGGTGTGTGTGTGTGGGTGGTGTATAAGTTGTGTGTGTGTGTGGTGTGTGTGTGGTGGTGGGTGGTGTATGAGTTGTGTGTGTGGTGTGTGTGTGGGTGGTGTATGAGTTGTGTGTGTGTGGGGTGTTCGTGTGAGTTGTATGTGTGGTGTGTGAGTTGTATGTGTGGTGTATGAGTTGTGTGTGTGTGGGGTGTGAGGTGTGTGTGTGTGAGAGTTGCGTGTGGTGTGTGTGTTTGTGTGGTGTGTGTGGTTTGTATTGTTTTGGTGAACACGATACGTATCAACTGTAGCGTGCGTATATGCCTATGTGTCCTTATTCACGTGTCTGTGTATTGTACGACTGTGCGTCTGTGTGCGCGTGCTGTGTGTGTGTACACGTGCTGTGTGTGCTGTGTGTGTACACGTGCTGTGTGTGTGTGCGCGTGCTGTGTGTGTGTGTACGCGTGCTGTGTGTGCTGTGTGTGTGTTACACGTGCTGTGTGTGTGCACGTGCTGTGTGTGTGTACACGTGCTGTGTGTGCTGTGTGTGTGTACACGTGCTCTGTGTGTGTGCGCGTGCTGTGTGTGTGTGTACGCGTGCTGTGTGTGTGTGTGTACGCGTGCTGTGTGTGTGTACGCGTGCTGTGTGTGTGTACGCGTGCTGTGTGTGCTGTGTGTGTACACGTGCTGTGTGTGTGTACGCGTGCTGTGTGTGTGTGTACGCGTGCTGTGTGTGTACGCCAACACCCTCGCTCAACTACAGAGCTCCATCCTCTGTCAACACCTGGGCGCTCAGGTGAGGAAGGCTGATGGGTGAGGAGGAGGGTGAGGACGACGTGAGATCTGAGCGAGACTGGAAGAAATGTCGCTCGAGTGAGCGGCGCTCCGAGCTCATAAAGCGACTCCCTCCACCCCCCGCCTCTCTCTCGCTCTCTCCACTCCACCCCCCACCGCTCTCTCTCGCTCTCTCCACTCCACCCCCCGCCGCTCTCTCTCTCTCTCGCTCTCTCCACTCCACCCCCCACCGCTCTCTCTCTCTCGCTCTCTCCACTCCACCCCCGCCGCTCTCTCTCGCTCTCTCCACTCCACCCCCCACCGCTCTCTCTCTCTCGCTCTCTCCACTCCACCCCCCGCCGCTCTCCTCCCTCTCTCCACTCCCCCGTGCCGCTTGATCCGCCCATTGAATGACGCTCTACGCCACACTCTCTCTCTCACACACACTCTCACTCTCTCACATACTCTCACACTCTCTCTCTCACATACTCTCACACTCTCACTCTCTCTCTCACACTCTCTCTCACACACACTCTCTCTCTCACGCACTCTCTCACTCTCTTACATTCTCACACTCTCTCACACTCTCCCTCTCTCACATACTCTCACACTCTCTCTCACACACTCTCACACACACTCTCACTCTCTCGCGCACTCTCCCTCTCACACTCTCTCAAATTCTCACACTCTCTCTCTCTCTCACACTCTCCCGCTCTCACATACTCTCACACTCTCTCTCACACACTCTCACACACACTCTCACTCTCTCGCGCACTCTCCCTCTCACACTCTCTATTTCTCTTACACTTTTTCTTACACGCTCTGTCTGGCTACAGCGACTCCGGCAAGCTACTGAAGCTCCGAGGCTGCAGGAACGTGCCCCTGAAGAGTGCCCCGAACACAGCGCTCTCCACGTGCTGTGTCAAAGCGCTCTACACGTGCTGTGTCAAAGCGCTCTACACGTGCTGTGTCAAGGCGCTCTCCACGTGCTGTGTCAAAGCGCTCTACACGTGCTGTGTCAAGGCGCTCTCCACGTGCTTTGTCAAAGCGCTCTACACGTGCTGTGTCAAGGCGCTCTCCACGTGCTGTGTCAAAGCGCTCTACACGTGCTGTGTCAAGGCGCTCTCCACGTGCTGTGTCAAAGCGCTCTACACGTGCTGTGTCAAGGCGCTCTCCACGTGCTGTGTCAAGGCGCTCTACACGTGCTGTGTCAAAGCGCTCTACACGTGCTGTGTCAAGGCGCTCTCCACGTGCTGTGTCAAGGCGCTCTACACGTGCTGTGTCAAGGCGCTCTACACGTGCTGTGTCAAGGCGCTCTACACGTGCTGTGTCAAGGCGCTCTACACGTGCTGTGTCAAAGCGCTCTACACGTGCTGTGTCAAGGCGTACTACACGTGCTGTGTCAAGGCGCTCTACACGTGCTGTGTCAAGGCGCTGCATTCCCGGGACCTGGCCGACCGGCCGGACACAAAATTGAGAGACCATTTCTCTCCCCCTCATAGCGGCCGCCCCCCAGTGGAAACAAATGTACAAAGTCTCCCGTAGCCAAACGCTGCGGTGACCTCCAGTGGAGATTGGCACACTGCACGTTGCCATCGGCCGTGTGGCTCAGCCAAATCTCGCCAGGGGTAACAGATTTGTGCATGTCCTTCGGTGCCAGGGAGGATCTGCCCCACCGGTACTTACGCTGCCAGCGGCTCTTACCAATGTTCCGCCTTTTGGGGGACATCTTCAGGAAACTGGGGGTGCCCTTCTACAACAGCAGCAGCTTCGTATATGGGGTTGGTGCCTTACCTGGCTAACAAGCGCCATGACCTCGCCAACTTCGCGGTGTACAGAACGAGGAAAAAATGCTTGAAGGTGACACTGACGGCTGCTCTGTGCTTTCAGTGTTCAGGGGCCTGCTCAAGGCGCGGCTCCGGCTGGAGCACGCCACGTACCACACACATGTCGGTGATGTGCGCGTCTTCTTCGAACGCTGGGGGGCTGGAAAAGCCCCTCTCTGTGTTTCAGGAAAAGCCCCCCTCTGTACCAGCGTGGACGGCACCCTCGTGTTCACCTTCTAAAGCGCTCGCTCGTCACCGTGGCGTGCGCGATGAACACCACCACCACGTGACTTTTCTTTTGTGTCGTGCGCGGTGCATTTAGCGCCACAGCGCGTGGATTTGTAGCGTTTATTTATTTGTGTTGCTGGTGACTTTGTGTATTTCATATCAGAATCGCCTCCAGTGCTGTTGCTGCTGGCGGCAATAAAAGTTGTTTAACAGTCAAAAGTCTCTTTTTATATGTCTCTTCCTTCTCGTCAGCATCGTTAACCACCGACGTATTTCACCACTCCTGGCACCACCATCGCCATCATCATCGTCGTCGTCCTCCTCTCCTGTCCACCGTGAACAACAACAACAACAACAAGAAAAACTCAACACACTCGTCAATGGCCCTTTTTCATCATGGCACATACGTCAATCACCCTCATCATTGTCAACGTTATGTCCTGTCTATAATTGCCCCCATTATCACGTCACCATCACCGTCATCAGTGTCTCCCTTCCACGACCATCAGTCTCGCATCATCACCATCACCAGTGTCTCCCTTCCACGACCATCACCATCATCAGTGTCTCCCTTCCATCATCAAAAGCCTCGCATCATCTCCCTCCCATAATCGAACTCTCACACCTCCCAGCAACCATCATTCCTATCACCCCCCTCCCCCCTCCACCCCCCTCGGGGCGCCGCTGTTTCCAGGAACCGCGCGGGCTTCTCGGCACCGCGGCGGTGGCGGCGGCGGCGGCGCCCCGGGCTCGCAGCGCCACCTCCCGCTCGGGCGTAGCCGGGAAGCCACGGGAGGACGTGGGGGGGGGGGGGGGGGCCGAGGGAGGCTCCTCGGGGAAGAGGAGGAGCGGCCACCACCACCACCACCCCTCCCCCCTACTCCAGACAATTTATAGTCACGATCCACTGCTGGATGAACCCATCGCTCCCTTTCTTCGCTGTGTGGATCACAGGCACAGGCGTTTTCTCGATGCAACCCACGGTCACCTTTCGCCACCGCTCGTGCCACCAACAAAAGACGAAGATTTCCCCTCCCTTTCTCCCCCCGTGTAGCATTCACAATGTCAAAAGGCGAACAGTACAAGGGCAATGCAATGATCAAAGCATTCATAGCTCGGGTTGTTGAGCAGTTATAGATGTATGGGGCCCTTTTACTGGTAGGAACCTCCTGGTTACACCAGCCCACAGGGGATTATTGCGTCCGTCCGTCGTGCATCCAAAAATGGGAGGGGTGGGGCTGGGTGGAGAGGGGAGGGTGGGGAGGGGCTGGCTGGGGAGGGTGGGGCTGGGTGGGGGGTTTAAGGGGAGGGGCTGGGTGGGGAGGGCCTGGTCACCCCGTGGTGCCCTTATAAAACTCAACGTTTAACCAACTCACGCCGGCTTGTGCCCGCCCTCACAGTCGGGCATATTTGCGGAATACACCACGCCGCCGTTGACCCTGGCCATTGACCGAGCAACCCAACGTGTTCCTACCAGCTCCCTCCGCAGGAATGTGTTTTGCCTGTACGATCAAGATGATGAGAAACAAGGGTCCCGTATAGATATGATAGTTCACTACCCAACAAAGCCAATCGATTGAATTTAACGCGTAGTGGGCTTTCGCGACCAATATTATGCAAGAATAAAGTGGTTTTGTTTTTGCGTGGGTTAGATCGCGAAAATGTGTCGTAAATTCGCCACCAGCCGACACAGGGTTGTTGTTGGTGGTGGTGGTGGGTTAACGACACACATATCTACGCGATCGAACCCACACGCAAAGCACAACACTTTCACAACGAACAATCAACTCGAGTGGCAACGGATTCGTCTGCTCAACAAGCGGAAGGAGGAAAAGAGCGAAAATAATTTATTTGACGATTTTTTTTTACACCATTATTTAACTTTCATTTCTCTGCCGCGTCAACGGGTGAGTGAATCGGTGCGCGTGTTGAATGAACGGTCGAGGGTGAATGACGCCCTGAATAATTGAACGCTCGCTGCCTCCCGTCGTGCCGTGCAGACGCGGAGCGGCACCCTCGCCTCGGATTTCCGTAAAACTGAGTCACGGAGACTTCCACTAAAACTATCGCGTGTACACCGCCCCTCCCCTGCCCTGCCCCCCACCCCTCCCCTCGCCCTCCCCCCAACCCTCCCATGCCCTCCCCCCAACCCTCCCCTGCCCTGCCCCCTCCCCCCACCCCTCCCCTCGCCCTCCCACCCCTCCCCCCGGCCCCCCCTCCAACAGCTCCTCCAGCCCCCCCCACTCTCATCAACCCATCACCCGCCCCCCTTATCATTGTCCACCCCCCCCCCCCGTGTCCCCCCCGTGTCCCCCTGTGTCCAGTGTCTCCATCCCATGGTCGTATCACTCCCCACGCGCCAATCCCAATAGCCCCTCGCGCCCCAAAGCCCCTCCCCCTACATCCTCCCCCGCTCCCCGCATCCACCCCCTCTTCCCCCCTCCAACCCCCGCATGGCCCCCCCGCCCCCGCTTTACCCAATCTTCGCTCCCATCGAACTCCCAGCGCCCCACCCACCTCTCACCAGTACCATCCTCCACGTTGTAGCCCCCTCTGATTGATAGCGAATTTCTACTTTTTAAAAAAGATTTATTAGAGATTTAAATTGAGTGTTTCTTGGGTAACGCCGTGTTTTACCACTGACACCTTTTATTTCCTTAATCTCGCACTTTTTTGGGGTTCCTTAATTGGCTAAACATTTTAGAAGAAATGTTTATTTACTTGAAATTATATTATTTGTTATCTGCATAATAAAGGTTTTTGGGTAAGATCGCGTAAGTAAAAATGTCGAAAGCCTCCACCGATACACCACACGAGTAACTAGTTTGCATTTTTATACTGATTGGCTGTGTCGGGTGGTGGAGGGTTTCGACACAACATTTGTACTTACGCGATCTAACCCAAAACATTTACTATGAATAATATTGATTCATCAGTTTTTTTGTGCTCATTTATTTTTCTCTGAAAGGGTGTGTGAGTGTTTTTTTTTTATTGACGAAGCCCGACTTAGGAGCCGCTTATCTCACAGGGTACTTGAATATAAACTAAACCCAACTGCC